ATCCGACAACGGCAGTCAGTTTACGTCGTCGGCGTTCGCAAATTTTTGTCGGGAGTATGGCATAACACATACGCACGCGGCCGTTTCATCCACAGTCGAACGGCCAAGCGGAACGCTTTGTTGACTCGCTCAAGCGGGCACTTCAAAAGTCCAGGGAGGAGGGGCCAACGGAAGAGATTTTCCAAAGGTTCCTGCTGGCGTATCGAGCGACGCCACCTGATGGAGTATCACCAGCAGAGGCACTGCTCCGAAGGAGGCTACGAACACCGCATGACACTATCCGGCCCCAAACAAAGCAGACTGGCAAACGCAACACCAGAATGGAGGAACAGTTCAACCGGCATCATGGTGCAACTGCGCGCGCATTCAGCGAAGGCCAAAGAGTGTTGGTTCGTGACTACAGCGGCAGAAGCCCTACATGGCCCCCAAGACTCATCCTTCGCTGGCGCGGCAGTGTTCTACGAGATTCAAGTTGGTCCAGCCAAGTGGATACGCCACGCGAACCAAGTCCGGCCGACAGATGCGCCGATCCTGCCATCAGGACCGAGTGATATGAGTCTAGAAATGCTTCCGGACACTTTTGATCTCGGCACCTCCCAGAAAGCCGCAAGCCAGTGAGGCCAATGCAAGTGAACCCCCAGCTTCGAAGCTACGTCAACAAACTTCAAGGGGGAGGTGTTAGGCAGGAATCCACGCGGATCCCACTATACCGCACGTCTTTAGGCGCTGCTACGGCCGAGAAGCCTAACCCGCTCGAGGTTGGCCCAGAATTCGGGACGCTTGCCGGTCCGGCATCAAGACGAGATCTGATTGGTCGACAGTCTGGACCCAACAACCAATCCTGACCCAGTATTTGTCAAATGCCGGTTGTCAATGGTGCATCCAGAACGCGTCAGAAATTGCAGAAAGTTATAACCGCTCACGCTATATATACAAAGCGCTGTACAACTGTTCTTGACTTCGTTTTGTTCGTTTATAGACCTGGTGAGCCTTTGGTTGTTGTTTTGACGTGAACGCTAGCTTGGGAAGCTCAGACAGAGAACTAAGCTGAAGAATTTACCGTTCTACAGGTTTTTGGGAAGCTCAGACAGAGAACTAAGCTGAAGAATTTACCGTTACTACAGGTTTTTCGTCAACCTTCACATTGACCTGACCGACCGCAAATACCATTGAAATGCGAATACTCTTCATACCACTTATCCGTATACACCTAGGCGCGTTAGGACATGCAATGTGCTAGCAAAAACTTGCCTCACAATGTTGGATTTTCGCTAGTGCAATCTTAGCTACTCTTCAGTTTTGTCAGTTACACCACCCTGTTTAAACCTTCAAGGGACAGTGAATTTGAACGTCGAAATCACACCTGGGGGTTGAGATGGTTAATATTTGACCGTGGCCGAACAAACCACAGTACATGGAACAGCGAAAAGAACTCTTCTTTTCGATATGCCCTTTTGAATTTAAAGGAGAGGAATCTATCTACAACGTTTTCTTTCCTGTGGAGCCGCTTGAGACGTCAAAATGTGAAGCGAAAGTTTGTTGACAGGTTTACTTCTCTTACTCGATCTTTTGCACTGCATTGCTTATTTGCATAAACAGTGACTGAATTGTGACAGTCAGTACACACATCAACAGGGCACGAGTACCATTTTTCAACTTCCATCACCTTTGGAGTCTGAAACAAATATCACTGAATTCAAATGGCGGCGCTTGCAAAACCATTGCGGCGGCAGACCTACTTTATGGCTGTGAAAAATGCCACCCAATATATGAAAACCGCAAATACCTCGGATATTTTATCACCATTGTATTCGTAGTAAAGCCCGTTTTAACTGACAGTAGTATATTCGTGATGAAACGGTTCGTTAGCGGGTACTAGATAATGAGTCAGAATCACTAGAGAAGCAGACAAAAATAATCAAATTAAGGTGGCTGAGTTAGGCATTACGCATGTCTGATCATCGAGATAGCTCAGTGGTTAGAGCGCGAGCTTGATGATCGGAAAGGGTGCTACCGCTGGACGATTACCCTTTTTTTCTGGATTTTGGCAGCTACTGTCAAGGCAGTATATCGGTCCTCGTGCTTCCTTCGGCTAACAGGGCATGGTGTTACAGCCGAACTATTATTATTACTGTTGTTTTTGTTAATGTAGAAGACAGCTTGCCAACACTGTGCTCCCATTTCCAACCCCAAGTGACAGCCAATCCCCATATTTATTCCCCTTGACCAGATGAACTGAAACCTTCTTGTTTTACTGAAGTATTTTTATAACTCTTACGGACTTTGGTCGGACATTGTGATTTTGCGGTGGCTCACCGTCGATATCTGTTTGGTTGTGACAATATCGATTTTGAGGTGTAGTGATCAGCGCTTTATCCTCAGGCTGATAATTGCACCGCCTTATTTTTGTGACCCTACGGTATCTGCAGAGGAGAATCCGTAAGGTTTGTTGAATATGTATATTATTATATTTGCAATAGTACCGTGATTCCAAAATTCGGATTTCTTGATCGTTTTCCTGGATTGGCACGCGTGACTCAAACTCAGAAAGCAGATAGCAGTAACAGTTAAAACCACCATCTTCCTGACAAAGCCGTTTTCCATTCTAAACCCTTGCTGCAGAAAGGCTCGTGGGGGACAAACCACAGGACTGCAACTTGAAAGGAAAATGGATACCGTCAAGTCGAGCGCGGATTTTTTGTGCCTTCTTGGGAGGGGGGAATCTCATCGAGCGCGGTCAAAAACCTACGCAACGCAGCATGACACTGGTTCCAGGAGTAACCTTGACGTCGGTTCCTGGCCTTTCTTCCTGGCTAACTCTTGCCGTCCAAATTTTGTTGGATGGGGTTCACAAAGAATTCTGGGTCAATCACGCCGATGAAACACCGCTCAAACACGACGTTCTGGTGTGTTCATTTCAATGTTTTTGGAAGGGGTAGGCACCTCTTCTTATCGACGGACATAAAGTTTTGCAACCTCTCTCTTGCTAGACTTTTACGAGGACTGCCTTACCAATGGCTGTACGAGAACCAAGAGCTAGTTTTCACTGATGGTGCACTATTGCCCATGACGACAACGATGTTAACTCTTGATAGTTTCACTGGCAACAGGTTTCCCGAGACGTGCTGAATTGATCAATTTGAACAACTTACAGCCAGTACTAGCATTTTCCGCTCCCCATTTCTTTGGATTTTTGGAAAAATCAGGCTTCCCAGTAGGCGCTTCAACTCAGTCTTACCTGGCGTCAGACGATGCGTCGAGTTTGGTTGTGAATAAGACAGGAAGGAATCCATTATCGAGTATCCAACGAAGTCACAGCCTTATAGAAGACCCAACGTTTAGAAGAGATTAGCGAGGTTTCACCGCGTTGTGAAAAGACTTCGATAAGTTGCTTCAGAGATAGTTAATATCTGCTTTCCATGAGAGGGCGGCCCGAGATAACTCATTGGTTAAGGCACGAAATTACTTACCGGGGTGTTTGTCGTTCGAAACAAGTCCCATGATCTCGAATCCTCCTGTCAATGCTTGAATAACCCACCTGTTTCACGTCCCTCCCGTTTCCCTCGGGTGCTAGTAATATTCCCCAAATTCTTTTATGTTCAAGAACCGTCCAGCGTCGAAGGAACGGATGTCCTTGGTTGGCTTTTCTAATGGTACCTGCTCTTCCGGTTTTCGTTTCAAAAAATGAGAACAGTATGGTTCGTATACTCCATAACCACAAGGTTCTCACTAGGAGAGATCTAAACACCGGGGTTTCCGGATATTTGAGATTTCGTCTCACTACATCATGAACGATGAAATTAAACAAAAGTGGATAAACTGGGCACCTTTGGCACCACCGCTTATAGGAGGACCTCTGGAGAGCCCCCCATATAAACATGTGCATAAAAACAGCGCATGCGCAAGAACATCTGAGACATACCCCGGTAGGCAAGCGCGTTGATCAAACGCAATCTGGAATCCAAGAGACATCAAGATTATAGGGATCCTATATGTGTACCATTGCTCTACCACTTGACGAACTGTCAACATGTGATCAACGCAGCCCCTTTCCCGGCCGGAATTACGCTTGTTTGTATCGAATCTCTCCTTCAGGCGCCTTCGCAAGACGACGTAAAATAAGCGACGTAAAGAGCCTTATCACAACGAGGGTCAAGCCAAGTCCTTTATGATCGCCATATGAGAGCACTCTTTTTGAATATGGGTAGCTCCATCGACCCGCCCAATTAGTCCGGATGGTATTTTGCTCCCGGATATAGACAGGTAAGTCAGACAAGCACTGACTGAGGATTTCACTTACATCTATGAACAGAGCAGGCGGAGAGCTCCGTGAAGCTTGAGTGACACAACGCATTTGCTCATTTCCGAATTCGTCGGGGGTTCCAGGTTTACTGTCGAGGGCTGCGTCGAGGTGGGAATTTGGCTGAGCAACTGCAGGTCATCATCATCATTGTCAGCTGTAATAACCGCGTACTCGCACGTTGGTAGTAGCTGCCGCAGTTTCGTTCACCGATGATTGGGGGGGTAAGTAGCTGCACATTCGAAAAAATCGTTCACCTGTGACCCCATTCCGGTGCCTAGATGCCATGCTACCCGAAAGGAGCACGAGAGCTAGGATATTGCCAAGTCGCCCAAGCCTAGGCAGGGGAAATCGAGAGGCAGAGGTTGGTGTCGAACCACGGAACTTCCGGTCAGAAAATTCGCGTTCTAACCAGTTGGGCCATCTTGCTCCCAGCTGCACGTTGCAAGCGGGAGATGATAAATTGGTGCATAAATCCAGCACTATCGGTGGGCTGTCAATTGGGGGACTGGGAAGGGAGCTCTGCATTGAAGGCAATAGCCTGGATGCCGGAGCATCACTGAGGGGGCCACTGGGCCATGTCTGACAATGTGTCTAACCATTGAGATGGACCATCTCGGGGTCCTCATCCAGGAAGAGGGCAACGACCAGCGCAGCTGAGTTTGCTGTTGATGGCATTCATACTTCGCTGCCAAGTCACCGTTTAACCGCCTCTGGCTCTCTTCCACCCTTCATGTGGTTGTGCAAAAAGAGCCCTTCGAGGAAGTCGGTCGACTGGCATACGCAGCACGTGGCCAAGCCAGCGTAACCTCTACAGTGTGCTCAGTTCATCTGTCGAGGGTGATTTATTTCTCCCGAGTGCCGTTCGACGTGCTTCAGGATTGATGATCCGGTGTTCCCACCAAATTCTGGTAATGCTCCGAAGGCATCGATGGCCAAATACTGAAATTCTTTTAACGTCCTCAGCGCAAATGCAGTTCACTTGAGTCGCTTTGATAACCACGTGCTCGTCGTAGAGTGGTTGTAGCTGCCTCAGTTTCGTTCATTTAAGTTGCCCTTGGAGCTACCCAACCCAACGCTTCATGTGTTCGTCTTCTTGTTTGATAAGCGAGTAGTTCATACCAGTGATTATTTTGCTCATCGGATGCCTCTTTCGGCTGGTCACGCTTACCAGCTGAAGCAGTTTACGCACATTCCGAGTTTTTCGCATCATCCACCTCTTCAGCCTTAATAATAATAATAATATTTATTCCCA